GGGGGGGGGTCAGCTGTTTTGTTTTTTTTCCCTGTACAAGGCATGCACTATTATCTCAGTCCCTGTAATCATCTCTCTCTTCCCAACAAGGCCTGGCCATTCTAATAAGCTTTTAAAATAGATATTGGCATACAGAAACATAGGACAGCTGTTTATGCCAGTTTTTGGTTGCCTTCATATTCTTAACACTACGCTGCACCACTTTGCTAATCCATGCCTTCACAAACATTAAATGTGTGCATATGTAAATTTCTGTTACAGCATGGGAAGGCAGACACAGGCAAATTCTAAATGCATGGACATTGATATGCTGATCTGTATTAGGAATCTTTCCAAATTGGAATTAGCCAGATTTTAATAAAAGCTTTTGATCGTGTTCAGTTAAAATTTTTGCCAGCAGATAAATGGACTAGGTTTCAATACTACTGTTACAATGCATCTCTGAGCCAGTTGTAAGAGAAATGCAAGAGAGAGAGAGAGAGAGAGAGAAGATTATAGCCAAAATTCAATTGTTTCGATACCTAGTTTTCTCCCATAATGTAGGAGACCATATTCCACCACTCCTGTAATTAAATTAAATAGTTCTGACTACAGGCATAGTTCTGAATCTTTAGTCTATTAGGCTGTCACTTGGGATTTCCAAAAGGATCTGAACTATTCTTTCATCCTATACTAGTATAGAAGGTGTTGGCACAGTAGCCAAGGAAACCTAGAAGTGTCTATTAATATAATCACAATTTTGTGGAAGGAGAATAGGTTTTGAAATATAGTTGGCAGATATGCTAACATTTGGTTTAAGTGACACATCTGAGGCACTCACGCCCAGTGCCCTGATCCTAATAGCTAAGGAAAGCTATCAGCTCTTTACCTGCCAGTGTTTCATTCACAAAACTCCTAGTGATTTCAGTGGAAGCCTCCTGAAAAGAAAAAAAAAAAAAAAAAAAAAAAAAAAAATGTAATTATAGACAGAAGAATAATCATGCTTAGCCCCTTCTAAGAAGGATCTGTCAAAGTACCTGAAAGAATTAGGTCCATATTGCTTGGTTCCTATTGAAAGTCACGGGGCAACTATCACCATTGGAAGCTTTGGAAAAAGTTCTATGCACAATGGCTTTCATTTTTAAAACAACTTGCAGCAATAAATAATATCCCACTGAGTCTCATAGTTCAGACCTCAGTTTCACAAAGATCTGCTTCACCTATTTAACTTTATGCACTATTCTTTTTAGTAAGACTTCTCAAAATCACAGTTGCTCCATTCTTGCAAAGATGGTACCTTAACTTGAAACACCATATGGATACACATCTACTAAAAGCTGCTATCAAACCCAGACTGAAGAAAAAAAAAAATAAAGATACACAAAACTTTTATTTTTTGACTCATAATAAATAAAGATGACAAGCAAAAATGGGAAGAGTGACATTCAGAAAACAAAAGTGCTTGTCAACATAAATGTAAAAAAGACCAAGAAGCAGGTCTGACATTATAAACACTGTTTTACAGACATTTAATACTTAGAAAATAGTTTTCTATCTTAGTTCACAAAATATCATAAAATTTCTTATGGGTATTATGGCTTGCTTTTTTCCCCCCATAAAGGTTTAATATCTATTATGCATAGCATGTCCAACATTCAAAAGTGTATAAAATTATTGCATAAAATAAATTATTTTTCCCAAATACACATTTTTTGCAAGATACACAGTGTAATTCATAAGGCTGTGACTGACAAAGCCAAATCCTCAGCTGGCACAAATGGGCATAGCCCTATTGAAGTCAATTACACTTCCCCAATTTGCATCACCTGAAAGACTGACACCTGGTGTTTAAAAATAAAAACCTCTCTCTTCTTGAAGCTAAACAGTTGCATTTTAACATATCAAGTGGACACTTTCATGCTGCACCAATGTTATAGTAGTCCATGATGGCAAAATAGAAATTGAAAGATAAGGTTTATGTTAAGTTCTGCACTGTCTTGTACATTCCATTAGGAATAGCTCAAGCCCAGAAGATCTTCATGCTCCTGTTCAGCAG